ACATAGACCAAAAATATCTCTAATATATTCTAACTTTATAGATAGAATTTCCAGATGAGGTGTTGTGGGCAACTGGCAAGAATCACTGAATTCAAAGAGACCTTTGCTGCCAGATAGTGCTGGCGCAGGCCTTTAATCTCAGCACTCGGGAGGCAGAGCCAGGCAGATCTCTATGAGTTTGAGGCCAGCTTGGTCTACAGATAGAGATCCAGGACAGGCACCAAAACTACACAGAGAAACCCTGTCTCAAGAAAACCAGAGAGAGAGAGAGAGAGAGAGAGAGAGAGAGAGAGAGAGAGAGAAGGACCTTTAGGCTAGGGGAAAGCCATTGGCCTCTACCAGTGTTCATTTGACTGTGTCCAAGTTCTCAGAACCATTACCTAGCCCAGTGCCTGGAGGATATGCCAGCTAGCTGCTCCTAGGTGATCAACTAGCTCAGACTTTGCCTTTGGGTGAGGTAGGGGAGTCTCCCTGACTATGCAAATGCCCACTACTTTGTGATAAAATCTCTAGAACTTTGAATTGGATCCAAATAATGCCTTGCCTTGATTTTGGGGGCGGGGGGGTTCACACACTGAAATTCTCTCTCATCTTCTAGGTGTCGCCTCATCCAGACAGAGACAATGCCTGCCAGCTCCCTTTAAAGTGTCGGGTATCTGCCAGGAAAGAATGGACTCTCTGAGCTAACCAGAATCATCTCCATCCCGTGCCCAGACTTGGCCTCTGCAGCACCTACTTGTCTTCATTTCCAAGAGTCTTTGGGTGATTAAAACAATATCAAAAACATCTCCAGGAAAGCTCTAGTCTCAACATTAGGGAGTTCTGAGACTGATTCTTGCTAGCTGTGCAAACAGGGCTGGATGAGGAGCCTCCCATCTGGGGAGGACAACCAAACCGCAGAGAGAGCCACTGTCCCCTCTCCCAAGCCCTGCTAGGACCCATTTGGCAAATGCAGTGGAGGACAATGGTACCTGCTCTTGCTGGGGGAGGAGGAAATACAGAGCTGTGAACTCAGAACAAAAGAAAAAGCCTTCGGAGCCAACCACATACCAGTCTGCAGTTGATAGAAAATGAGTGAAGCATGAACGGACCGAAGTGCGTCTAGGGCCCTCTTTTCAAGCGTGTTACATTGAGTAGAAACAGTGCTAGGCATATAGGGTAGAGAGTGGAAAGATCGGGCAGAGCACAGGGCCAAACTGCTCCCCAGGGAAAGCATAGTCCTTGCCCAGAAGAGTGGGATACATCTAGGGGAATGCTGAGGCTTATACTGGAGTAAGCCAGGCATAGGAAGTCTACTTACTGTCGACCTTGTTCATGGTTTCCCATCCTGGACCCAAGCCAAGTCATGCTGACTTGGAGGCAGAGTGAGAGGGCCTTGCTTGCTCACCACAGTCAACCATATCCTTTCTGCAGGGAGGTCAACTGATCAGGACCCAGCCCTGGGCAGATGATGACATGATGTTTGGTTCTTTCTAGGCCCCTGTCTTGAGCCTGAGCTGGTACTAAATAGAGCTAAAGGACAGTACCATGTTGCAACCAAGCTTTATTATTTCTCTGCAATCTGGTAATTAACATTCCAAAGGTCTTGTACCATATGGAACTCAGTTGTTCAGAGATTTATGAACCCTCAAGAAATTTGAGAATTCCTTCCTTTAAGCTGGAAACAAAATATCTTTGTAAATTGTTTAGTTTTAATTAGTATGTCTGTTTGTGTGTTTGTGCATGTGTGTGAATGTATGCACACCAAGGATCACATGTTGTACCAGAAGACAACTTTCAGGGGAATTGTCTGCCCTCAACATGGGACCCAGTAATCAAATGAAGGTTAGTGTAATTGGCAGCAAGCACCTTTATCTCCTAAGCCATTTCATTGGCCTTTAAAATTCCTTATTTTTTTTTTGTAAAGATGCAAAAAAATGAAGCAAATAGCAACCACAACATGACATGTGTACATTGTAAGCAGTTGCTTTAAATCAATATATTTGGCTTATTTTGAGTGTCTTAGTTGGTTCATTTGTTTTTGAGTATTAAAAGGTACAATCACACAACTGAAGATTCTGTCATTTTTTTAAGTAAAGAGAGAAGATATATCAACTGAAAGTGTTAATGTTCTTTTCTAAGGTGCTGTTAACTTCTCCACAAAATTGTTGTCAATTACAATAGAGCAGCATTAACTTTTACAGAAGTCAGATGTTACCAACATAGTAAGCTCAGCTGTTTCTAAGAGGTGCAAAGCTTCAAGTGACCACATCCATCGCCCACACCTCCAAATTAACATGGTAAACAACCTCGGACATGCAAATGATCCTTGACCGAAAATCAACTCATTCTACAAACATGAGAAAGGAAAAAAAAAAAAAAAACCACCATTTGGGGGGAAAGGGAGAGAAATCATTGTCAAATACCTGTTTTAGTGCCCTCTCAAGATGTAGAAATGCCAAGTTGCCAGCAGAAATAATTTTGAGCAAGTATTTACAGGAGGGATATTGCATCTTGGTAAAGTGCAAACACATAATGGAATAATTTGTCATTTTTTTTAAGACTGACATTGTATTTCCACATTCTCATGGTTAGTTTTGGAAACCTAGACAAGATTAAACAACATGACTTTATTATTTGAGTGAAACTAATCTAGTACTTCCAAAAGATTTGTAGAGTAAAAGAAAAATAAGCTTGCAGTTTAGTGAGCTGTAAACTAACCACTGTGACGGAACAAGCCAAAGTATGCTATTATAGGCACCTGATGGGTAAACACATAATTTTAAAATGCAACACCCAAAATAATGACTATGTTTCTCAATACAAAAAGAAATACACCCCTTCCTCCCAAAGCCCCAGAGTATGCCGTGTTCAAAAATCAAAAAGGTCAGGTACTAAGTACTTCAGCAATGCCATTGCCACAAGGATCAGGATTGGACTCATACTTGAGGTCTTAGGTGAAATGAGTTTGACGGATTAGGTTCCCTTCCTGGCTGTCAGTACACTACATAAAAAACACTACACACATAGGGCTTAGTGAAACTAGCTGCTTTCTGCACAGGAAAATTCCTTGATAGAGTTAGCATGAAGACAAATGAACTGCTATCCCCTAAGAAAGGTGTCCCTTTAGGTTAGGCTCCAGGACAGCAACACCAAACAGAAAGTGCTCTTGACTCTGTACAGCTGACAGACTCATTACCTTTGTAAATACCAAGGCTCAGCTTTGAGTGCCTGGATTTCTCCCTGGCTTCTAGAAAGCACTCTTAACACACCAATTACTGAAATAATAAAGAAATTAAAATGAGAGAAACAAGGGTGATGTAAACAAACCCCGTCATTGCCTGGCATCAGTGTTTAAATTTTCTCCTTTACTATTATTATGCTTAAACTCCCACTATTTATTCAATACCCTTTAAATATGCCACCATTGGATTCCAATACATGAGGAAGTCTATAAGATACTATTTTCCTTAAGAGGTAGGAAAATGAAACCACACATTGGATTAATTTTAAAGTGGTAATGGCAGAATTTGAAGTAACACCTCCCAGTGTCGAATATGCAGCCCTGCATCTTTTCATGCAGAATTATTTACCTGAAAACTATTTTGTTTATGAAGCCATATTGGTATTTTTCTTTAGCTGTTGATTATTTTCTTTCATTTTATACCTTCTAATCACCTCATGACCAAACACAACAAAATATATTTACAATAAATAATACATTAAACATCTTTATATACTGTTTAATTTTCTCTCTCATGTATCATAATCATGATGTTTTATGTATAATTATATTTTTCAATATTCATTTAAATGACTACAAAACATTTTATTATATAGAATACATTAATGTTCATCTTTTTAAAAATATAAAATAGTCTAATTATATAAATATTTTGCTCATTACCATCATTACCTAAGTTTCTGTAAGAACCATGCCTTCCTCTCCCAGGAGGCTGGTGTTTCCTGTAGGTATTTCCTTGTGATCTTGAGTTGACAAATATACATCAGTAGACTCAGATTCAAATCTGATGCATTGTACATGCTCTACTTTTCAATACTGCTGCCTCATGTATTCCCAGCCGCCTACCATAGCACAGCCACCAGCCTTATGTACTGTTGCTTCAGCCCACAACCTTCTGTTGCCTGGGCACAGCTAATGCATCGTGGTCAGCATAGGTTTCCTCAAGTGGCCTCTGCCACGGGACCAGATCAATCTGTGAATCTCCAGAGAGTCTAACCTCTCTTGCCCCATTGACAACCATAGAGAAAGCTGAGGATCTGCATCCAAAGTTGCCATTAAAGAAGCAGAATTTTATTTTAAGGGGTATCGGTGGTGAATAAATGGGGGAAATAGATACAAGGGAGCTATGTAAATAAACTCTGCAACTCAAGGTCAATTCCAAAGGCTCTGAGGCTTGCTGATTTGTGGCCTACCCAGAAAAAATTTTCATTTCAAGCAGGTATTTCTAGCAATCAATCCATTGTTTTTTTATAGCTTCTCACAAGGTAGCAATCATTGTCTTCCATTGAGATAAACCCTTATTATTTTTCCTCTTGCTATTTGTTTTATCCTCAACGTAAGACACTTGTATCAGAAAACCCAGTCTAAGAAAATAAGCACAGTGGTGTGTGTTTATTGAAGAAGTGGAATGGGGCAAACACTAGGCAGAATGTCATGGAAGCACCCATTCTCTAATAAGCAATAAGGGGAAATTAAAAATATCCCATTAGTTAAAAATGAAAACATGATAAATCAAAATACATAAGAAATCAAAACAATATTCATAAGGAATTTTGTTTTAAATAGTTGGGAGAGCTGCAACCAAATATTAACTTTTCATTTAAAATACTAAGAATATTGAGGGAATCACCATGATATTTTCCATATCTATTCTGATCAATGTTCTCTCCAAAAGATGTGGTGAAAATACACAATGTGGAATTATTCTTCCACTTGACTAATACTCATTTTCTGACTTTGTTTCCTTGCTGTTAGTGAATCTGAACCCCTTTAATACCTGTTAATCATCTGAAAATCCTCCCTGGAGAAATGTCTGTTCAAGTACCTGCCTGTTGTTTCAGCAGATTATTTTGCCATTGAGTTGTGTAACTTCTTTACATAGTGAGAATATAATCTGTCCCCGTGATGTTCAATTTACTGTTCACAAACTCTGTCCTTGGATGTAGCATCACTATATATACTTTATGGTGTCACAATACCTCAGATGTCATAGTGATTTCCTCCTATTTTTTCTTCTAGGAGTTGTAAACTTTAACTTTTAATCAATTTGAGTTGACTTTTGTATACAGGAAATGAAAGGCCTCCAGTATGCTTTTGTTTTCTCTTTGTATGAAGATGTATAGTTTTCCAATACCACTTGTTTTTGTCTACTGTTTATCTAGGGTGCTTTTCTCAAAGACTAGTTGGCTATATACATGTAGATCATCTCTAGGAATTGTCAGTTTTAGTAATAGATATGTCAGTTTCATATCTGTATTATGCTTTTCTTTAATTTATGAAATTACACTATAATCACATCATTTCCCTTTCCCTTTCTTCCCTCCAAACATTCTACTGTACCCCTCTATGCTCTCTTTGAAATTTGTGGCCTCAATTTTCATTAATTGTTGTTGCATACATCTGCCATTGTATGCAAGTAACCATATGGAGATATTTACACAATATGAAGATTGCTCATGGTTATTTTCATATATTCTGACAACCTGTACTTTTTAATTTATACATTTAATCCACTTACATTTAGAATATTTGCCAGAAAAACACTTATTTAGACTAGTTTTCCATTAGTTTTCTGTATGGTCTATGTTTTTCTTTCTCAATCCTTTCCATATTCCCTCCTTTTTGTATCTAATTTATTCATACATTGTATAATTTAGTTATTATTTTTATTCTTATATATTTCAAGTATTTCTTTAATGGTTATATTGAATTTCACACTTAATATCTGAACCTTATAACAACTCAGTTTCAATAATACATTCTTCATGGCATTTAAATGCTCTTTTATGTTAACTGGTCTTCTACCTTTACAGTTACCATTTCAGTAAATGTCTTTGGACATTGTAAGCCAATTAACCTCAATTTTTAGTTATTGTTTTCTGTGTTTACCTGTTCCATTATACATAAACACAGAATTCAAATTAAGAGCCATGTAATACTTTAGCTTTTATACTTTGTTAAAGAATTACATCTACAATTATTCTTTACTTGTTTTCTTTCTGCTGACTTGAAGTAACTTTTAGGTGTCTTTTTATTTTAATCTTAGAAATTACCTTCCTCATTTCTTATATTATAGCTCTACTTTTGAAAAACTCTTTCAGTTCCTATTTATCCAAAAATATTTTTAATTTTTCCATTCTTGGAGGAAAGTTTTAAAGTTATAAGAGTCCTGGCTCACTATTTCTCCACTTTGGGACTTCCATTGTCTGACAACTGTCTTCCAGCCTCCATAATGACTAATCTAAAATCAGTTGTAAATTTTATGGCAGCTCTCTGAATTGGGTAAGTTACTACTCTTTTAAGTCTCTCAATTTTTATTTTTGTTTTTGGCCCCATATAATTTAACTATATATCTTCTCTATTTCTTTAAAATTCCAACTTGGTGTTCCTTGAGGTGTTTGATTGTGTGTATCTGCCATTAAATTTGAAAATTTTCAGGGTGTAATATGCCCAAATGTATCTCATTTTGTTCATAGTGTCTTTCCCTTGAACTGACATAGTTAATATGTTTTTAATGGTGCCTCAAAGAGTTCTTAAGGCTTTTTCATTTGTTCTTATATTTTTCTTCCCCCACACTGGATAATTCCAATTGCCTATTTCCACACTCAATAATTTACTGCTCATTCAAGGTTTCTATTGAAAACTTCTAGAAATTTTTTTAGCATTTATCCTTTTTGTTTCTGTTGCACAAGTCCTAATTGGTCTTATAATAAAAACCTGGAGCCAGATATCAGAGTAAATGCTGAAAGAGAAGAGGAAACAAGCCACAGCTGCTTCTCACCTCAACAACTCCTCAACCAAAAGGGGAAAAACCTGGCTCCTTGAATCCTCAGCAGAAAGGGGTGAGTTTCTGTCTTCTCTCTCCTTATATTCCTTTCTCTTCCCAGCCATATCACTTCCTGTCTCAACCTTCCTTGTGCTGTAATTAAAAGCTTGTGACTCCCAAGAACTGGGGTTAAAGGTGTGAGCCACCACTGCCTGGCTCTGTTTATCTTTTAGACAGGATTAATCTCATGTAGTCTAGGGTGGCCTTGAACTCACAGAGATCCAGACTGATCTCTGCCTGCCAAGGCTAATATTGAAGATGTGTGCCACCACTGCCTGACTTCTATGTTTAATCTAGTGGCTTGTTCTGTTCTCTGATCTTCAGGCAAATTTTATTTGTTAGAGTACAAACAAATTATGACCACATGTTTCCATAATTATTACTTGATTCATTTGGATAATTTCTCTTAGTTTATTGATATCCACTGTATTCAATGTTATACATGTTTGGGGGCTGCTTTTCATAAAAATCAAGTAATGCATATAGCCAAAAATGTCCAGTAATGAATGAAAGTCTAAATAATTTGTAACACTTATATACCCTCATACATATGAAGTGCTATCATTAAGAAATAAAAAATAAGCATATTGATTTAGAGGAAATCTAGCAACACTGTATAAATTCAAATAAGCCAGACACTAAAGAGCACATTGTAAAATTCAGTTTATAGGAAATGTGAAAACTATCCAAATCTGTAAAATTAGAAAGCAGTTTGTGGATAACAGGAATTTGATTTTGTGGCTTGCAGGGAATGGGACAAGGTGGGAAGGTGATATGAGTACTCCTGAGCATTGAATATTTTTTGCAATGATAAAAATGTCAAAACCATGAAGAGGTACTTGTTCTTCAACATTTTGAATAAATTTAATAGACTGTGTGTTGTGATTTTTTTTTAATTGTATGAGCTGGGCATTGTTGTGGTGCATGCCTTTAATTCCAGGCCTCAGCAGGCAGGGCAGAAAGATCTCTGAGTTTGAGACGAGTTTGATCTCAGAGTGAGTTTTAGGACAGCCAGGGCTACACTGGGAAACCCTGTCTTGAAAAACCGAGAGAGAGAGAGAAATAAGGAGGAGGAGGAGGAGGAG